TGCTGCCATACTGCATGGTCCGTAGTGGAAAGCTCGGTGGTGTTGAAGTCGGGAGGAGCTGGCCAGGTTTGAGGAAAGGAGTCCAAAGAGCTGTGCTCAGCTGGGGCCTGGAGGGCTGCTCCAGGGTCCACTGCAGCACAGCCAGGAGCCAGAGGCTGCTCCGGAGGCAGGGCCATGGGCAGGAGGTTATGATGGGCCTGTGTCTCGCTTGCCTTCAGAAAAGAGGACAGCTGCCCATCCCCGATGGGCTCCACCTGACTCTCCTCTCCCCGTGGCCCCCCACCAGGAGGAGGCAGATTCGTTGCTTCAGCTGCCTCAGTGCCCTGGAGGGTGGGAATTCTCTCCTCCACCACCGTCACTCCTCCTGGTGCCGCAGGAACTCTGTGGGGATGGAGCTCCCTGTCCGGGGTGTGCTCACCCACCCGGCCATTCTGGCTGTTGGCTGCAGTGTTGTCCTTTACAGCTACTGGGTTCAGAGAGAGCTCCAGGCCCAGAGGTTTCCGTGGAAACTCCTCAGGCTTTGCTGCATTGCAAAAAGAGAAAACAAAATAAAACCCAAACTGCATCAATTTATTTTTGCATGCCCTGAATGTAAGGAAGGCAGATGCTCCATCTGAGAGGCACCAGCCCTTCAAGGCTGCCCTGGCTCCCAGACACACCAGTGGGATGCTCTGGTCCCTGCTGGGCTGCACCTCCTTCCTCTCTACTCACCTGGTGGGGGGAGGTCAAATTTCATCTTGCGCAGTTCAGTCATTGACACCTGCAGCTGCTCGATGACAGCATCATCCTCATACTGCAGGGAAGCAGCAATCTTCTCCTGCAGAAACTCACGTAAATCTTCCAGTGTCATCTTCAGCAAACGCTCTGGGGAACGGGAGAAAGGAGGAATGGCAGTGGCACAGCCAAACTGCAAGGTAGCAGGAGCGTGGGTTGCACTGCTTAGGTTTTGTCTGGGATTCTGCTCCTGTTCCCACTCTGCAGTGAGACAGCATGGACGTTTTTGCCTCTCTCCCACCTTCCCATTGTTGCTCAGGGTTGTCAATACATGCACACAAATCTGTGCCACCTCTGAGCAGCAGCTCAGCAATAGCAGGACAGTGGTGGGGCTGGGAGCTGTGCTGATGAGGATGCACATTTTGGGCCATTTCTGGAAGTTCTCACCAATACCTCTAGGAGGAGGAAAAGCTCCATGAGACAGACCCACAGGCTGAACAGGCACTGCTGGGAGCTGCCACTGCCAGCTAGGGATGTCAAACTGCACCAGCCAGCAGGCAGGGATGCAGGCAGAGGTGCTGACCCTTGCCAGGGATGCAGGCAGGGGTGGGATACAGGCAGGAATGGGTTGCAGGGAGGGATACCAAGCTGCACCACACACTCCTCAGGGAGCACAGATTTCACAGCCAGGCTGAAACATCTGCCTTCCTGCCAGTTTCCCAGTTTTTGCAGACAAACAGGATACTTCAAAATTTATTTCTGGAAAGCCTGTTGTTCAGATTGAAGGAAGAGCAGAGTGGCTGTTTGCAAAAACCAGCACATGCAGTCCCATAAATCCCACTAGCCCAAAGGTTCCTGGCATACACTCCTGGCCCCAGATGAAGGCCAACAGTGTCAGAGCAAGGCTGTGAGTTTATGGGACTGGAAGGGTTCGAAATCCCAAAGAACTAGAGGTAGAAACATCACTGCCTTAATTCTATGCAAGAAAACCAGGTTTCGATCATTTTAGAAGTATATTAATGGACTTACTTCTCCCTCTACAGACTTTTCAGCCAAACCACCACCTAGAGCTTTGCAGACAGATGCTGCAAAGATGCAGCAAAGAAAGATGGTGCAAAGCATGGCAATTACTGTCTGTGTTGCCCCTAAAAACCTCTTGATAGTGTACGTGGGGTACAGCATGCAGAAAGAAGCAGCTGGGAGCATTTCACGTGGGGCATGTGTGTGCTGAGTGCAGCATGTCAACCCCAGTGGCACCTCATTTGCCCCCCAGAGCATCAGCTTGGGCTGTGCCTCCTGCTGCCAGTGCAGGGCACCGAGCAGGCTGCAAGTGTCAGCAAGGCTCCCTGGGCTGGCAGCACGAGGGGGGCCCAGCATGGTGCCACCACAGCCATATGGGACAGTCTGCTGGGACCTTACTTTTGTGCAGTTTGAGGATGGTGTAAGCCATGGCCGTCAGTACCCGCTCTCCTTCCAGGATGTAGATATCCCACAGGCGCAAGGTGAGGGTGAAGGGAGTCTGAAACACACAAACAAACACACAAATGGGATGATGATACAGATGGTGTTATCACTACTTCCCCCTTGCACCACAAAACACATCAGGCCTTAAGCACTGGAAGTCAGGAATTAATCTATCACACAAAAATATTTTTTAGCATCTATGGTTTTGCCTTAAAACTAGCACATGTGGGTGGTTGGGAAAGTACTTAAACCCAATCTGTGAATGCAGAAAAAGGACAAACTTTCCTCACAGGCATGCTAACACATGGATTCCCCCACCCTGGAGTGAGCACCATCATCTTTCGGCCTTGTGAGCACACAAAACAACTCCTGTATCCATCCAGATTGTCCAGAAGGGCTATTTATGGGATAGGTCTGAAAGCCCAATGATGCTTCACTAGGCATTAGAAAAATCACTCATTTGGTGTCCAGAGAAATGGAAAACACCTTGCAAGAGACTTCCATTTGCATCCAGGCCCAATCTGACAAACAGGAGTGAACTGATACCCAAAATGATGGAACAACCCATACCTCCCAGCAAAGATCTAGGGCATCTCACCAACACAGGAATTAATACTAGTCCTACCATGACATTTAAATTCAACTTTAGGATGTTGTGCTTAACTCTCCAGAGTTTGGCATGACTGACCATTGCAGCTCTTATACCACATGCTACTGTAGTTAAAGGGATTTTGCATTTTCTCCAGCTTTTAGTGGCAGACTGCAAAACAGTGAGTTCCCTCTCAAGGGGAAGAGGTCGTCCACTGTTCTCGAGGAAACAAGGCAGCAGAAAATTGAGGCTGGGGCACACAGATGTCCTAAACATTAGCAAGTCTGGACATTACATTCAAGTGTGCAAGCACAATGCTGCCCATCAAAACACAGTAGTCTTGGCTCAGGACTGGCAAATTAGCTCTGGACAAATCAGGGTAATTTTCTCACGCTTTCATGTGTCTCCAGTCCCAGCCTGCTCCTTTGCCTGCAGCTGCTGCACTGCTATTTGCCGAGGTTTGTGCCCCCAGCTCTTCTTCTCCCTACATTGTTTCCAGAGCCAAAGAGAGGTTAATTGCCTTTGCAGCAGTGCCAGTGGGCAAAAGAAAGATCTCTCTCCCAACTTTGAAGCTTATACTGCTGCTGCTGAGCCA